TGTAATATATACATATATATTTATGAAGGTTGTGTGTGTTCAAAACAGTGGGCTTGATTTACTTTGAAAATGCAGTTGCATTCGATTTTTCCAGAGCTTCGTGAATGTGGCGAAACTTCACTTTGTAAAGAATACCCAATCAGATGCAAAGAAAAAAAAAAACCCAGCATTTTTGCTTGCATGTGATCTGTTGATGGAAATTAGCAGCGCTTCACCATAGGCTCTGGGGAAAAATGAGTGCAGTTGCAAAGTGTCAATCCTAGTAAATCAACCTAACTGTGTACTAAAACACATGCCCAAAGGCCTTTATCTTGGGGCATAAATTGCGAATGGACAAGAAAATCCATCTCAGACAATCTATTGAGTTTGGCTGGCAAAGTGCCACATAGACATGCTATCATTTAATGATCCTAGTGTAATCAGCTGGATTGGGTGACAATCCTCTCATGTCTGTTTTGTAGCTTTACTCCCATATATGGCTAGCTTATGCATTCTGATCTGTTTTGAAAAAAACTAAACCAGCAGTTGAGTCATGGAGATTGATATAATTATGTGTGTATTTGTTATCATTTTATCTATTTAGAGTGTGGGCTTTTTTTTTTTTTTTTTTATTTATTATTGCCCAAGAACAGAACTTATGACTCTCAGGTGTAGAGTGTGCTTTTCAACTGCTGATCAAGTGACTAAGCTGTAAATAGTTGAACTGTTTAAAATCAAGGAGCCTTGGATACAAATGCAAGAAAAAAAATGTGAATTCTTTAGAATTACCAAGATTTACTATGTTTGGTCTCTAATAAATTGGTTCTTCTAAATCCTATTAATTTAAAGGATACCAATGATGGAAAAAAAGAATACTGCTTATCTTGCTTTAGTACTCTAGATCATGGACAAGTATGTTAATAAGGACTTCAAATTTTGCTGATCTGCATACTTTGTGAGTCTGCATGAAGTACTAAATGTAATTGGTCAGCTTCAGGTTGGAAACTAGCATTTTCAAGAGAAGTACGCACCAACACCACTTGTCTGCTGACTGCTGTCAGCTTACTGATGAGCACATGTCAACTGATCAATGCCACTGCAATGATGTGTACTTGTCTATTGAATGCCACCATTGCAACAACATGCACTTGTCCCTTGACTACCGCAATGACAGCTGACTGCCATCATTGCACTGACAAGCACGGTCCACCGATTGGCACAACATGTGCCATAAACGGCTACCTCATTTATGTTAAATTACATTTTTCAGACTACTGAACTGTGTGTACTGTATTGTACCACCAGGATTTTTTTGCTTTGTTTTTATTCTGTCACATTGTTAAAGAAGTTTTTACTAATCACAAAGGTTCACATACACATTCTAGCTCTGACTGTAAATGTTTGAACAATGCCTTTTTAGTAAGGATTTGAAAGCGTACAATTGTAGAAGAAAATTGTGGTGTTCTATTATTTAGACATAGCTGTAGATCAGACCACATTTTATAAGCCATTTATACAGAAATCCAGGTAGTTCTGGAGGGTTCACAAATTCCTTCTTCCTTTTTTTTTTTTTTTTTTTTTTTTTATTTTTTAATTTATTTTTTTTTCTCTCCCCCCACGACCAAAATACATCTTAACAGATTTGTGGTTTTTATTTCTCCAATACATATATTGTAATTTCTTAACTATTGTTTCTATATGTCAAGTGTGTGTGTGTGTGTGTGTGTGTGTGTGTGTGTTTTTTGTTTGTTTTTTTTTTTGGTAACTTTCTTTCAGTTTTGGATAGGTAAGAGTTTGACACTATCAAGTTTTTATTGCTATCCTGCTGGGGCTTCACCCCCCTTTTTTTGTCCTAGTAATCATTGTCACAGGAACAAAATGTGAGGGGAATACAAACACTGAGTCTCGCCAGAGTGGAGAGACAATGAGGACCCTTGTTCCTACGACAAGTCTAATATAGAAATTTCTGTTCATGTTTGGGAAGAATTCATTTTTTATTGCATCTTCAGGAAAGGAAGTGAAGGGAAATCTCCACAGTAGGATACAAGCTGCAAACATAAGCTGACTGGTTTTAACTTTTCTATGCTCAAAACTAATTAAAAAAAAGTTTGGCTTATGATTGCTGTTTTTGGAATGGAATTCACTCTGCAGTTCTCTCTGGTCCAAGTGGCTTCTGGTGTTGGAATGGCTGTCAGAGATGGCGAGGATCCAGCTATAATGGCAAGTGCTGAAAAATGTAACTCCTGGGCTTCTGCTCCTTCTACAGTTTGCTTCACAAGCGTGAACTGTTTGAATATAATGTAAACCCAATGCTTCTGTACTGTTTTGTACACTTGGGGTGAAGTGATGTAATAAATTAGAGAACTTTCTGTCCGTACTGGATTCTTGAGCAGAGCTGTCCAGCCTTTACCTGCAGAAATAGATCACAGCTATAGTGATCTGTTGCTGGTTGACTGCAGTCTGCAATACAGTATAATACATGGAGGTATTCTACAAATGCTAAATGGCATAATGTGCAGAACGAAGATAGAAAAAAAAAAAAAACCCAAAACACTTTGGCAGGAGATTTAGGGAGAAAAAAGTTCTGGGGACACACATAGTTAACAAGTAATGCACTCCTTTACCAACTAGAAAACCGTGAGAAGACAAATTGTAAAGCTTCCAATCTTTGAACCATCCTCCCATAAATTGGGTTGTTCCAGTGTCTCAGTGTGTTCATACTAATTATGGGAGTTGCTGTATTTTCTCATAATCGACTAGAATCAAACTTTCAGGGCAGGTCTTATCTGATTTTCCAGCTGATGGTAACTGGCTCCAGTTCATAATCAAACATGCAGGAACTGTCCACCTGGCTGTCCATATATTCACTATCTGCGAAAACTAATTTGAATTAAAGTGCAACTAAAGGCAAAACGTATTTATTTTGGATAAAGCAAGAGATGGTTATAAGCCCTTTGGGTTTTTATTTGGGGGGTTGCCATATTTGTCCCACTGGGGAGGTTTCCCTTCACTTCCTGTCCAATAGCCAAAACAGGAAGTGAGAGGAAGTCCCTCCAAAGTGAGGGAATCCCTGTGTGTCATCATGGTCACCAGAATTCGTGTCCACACTGTCTTAGTGTTCAGATGTCAACCCAAAATTTTGTGATTTTTCTTTACTTTAACTTTCCATAATTGTAAACATTACAGATTGAGAGGGTGATTTTTTTTTTTTTTCCCCCAACAGGGGGCACAGACAGCAATAAAAACGAAGGTTTTTTTAATTCCTCTCAAATCTATCCAAAACTAAAAAAAACGTTTTGCCTTTTAGTTACACTTTTAATATGAAATAGGTTTTCTCTCTACTACTCTAATAACTCTTCAAGGAAGGCTGACTACTAAATGTAGAAATATAGTTGGAAGGATTTCCTTTTCTTCAGCCACAAATGCATTAGTGAGGTTAGGCACTGATGTAGGGAAATCAGACATGGCTCATAACTGGCATTCCAAGCATAGTTGTTGGATTGGTGAGAGTTAAGGGCAGGCCAGACAGGTTCTATTGCAACATTTCTGCAGTTAATTTCTTTGCAGACCTCATTTTCTGCATGGTGGGTATTATGTCAGTATGGGAAAGGGCCTTCTCCAAAGCTCTTGCCACAAAGTAAGGAAGTATGGAATTGTCAAAAATATAATTTTATACTTTTCACTGGAATCAAACCGTACAACATATCGAAACCATTATTTCTCCTACACTAAACTTTGCATATGTTGTATGTTCAAGGAGGTAATCTTTTACTGAACTCTGCCAACTCCGACTTGGCACCTCCCTTTCCAAATTCTGAAGTGCATGCTATGGTCCTATGCTGCCATGTTAGTCACGAAGTACTTCATTATGATCTATTATACTGCCAGTGGATCACAGGGCTGTGTGCTTTTTAATAATCCTGTCACGATAACAATATGGTGTACAAGCCACAAGCTGAGGGCAGTCTCTAACTCTTCTAGTTGTATCTGGTTATTAAAAAAAACTAGTGGTGCTTGCTTTTTGTACTGGTCTTTTTAATACATTTAAAACTATATGCTAGTGGTGTATGATTTGTGCAGTAGATCCCCTGTTACTGTAGAATCAGTTCCACTCCTCATTGCCTGGGGCTACAGGTGCAGCTGCTGCTGTCAACAACCTCCTGGATTTTATTCAAGGTGGCAAGATCGGTGAAGTAACTGTACACAGTGCCAGAGTGGCAGCAGATGCAATGGCCTCCAACTGTTCCTTCAGCCCAAGGACAAACATCAGGGATCTGTTTTAGACCTCTGATATTTCCCCAAAGAGAACCTGTCAGATCTACCGTATTTGCCGGCGTATAAGACGACTGGGCGTATAAGACGACCCCCCTACTTTTCCTGCTAAAATTTAGTGTTTGAGCTATACTCGCCGTATAAGACTACCCCTCTTCCAATGCACACCAGTGGCAGGAATAGTGCCCCATAATTGGTATCAGTGGCAGGAATAGTGCCCCATAATTGGTATCAGTGGCAGGAATAGTGCCCCATCATTGGTATCAGTGGCAGGAATAGTGCCCCATCATTGGCATTAGTGGCAGGAATAGTGCCCCATCATTGGCATTAGTGGCAGGAATAGTGCCCCATCATTGGTGTCAGTGGGAGGAATAGTGCCCCATCATTAGTATCAGTGGGGGGAATAGTGCCCCATCATTAGTATCAGTGGGGGGAATAGTGCCCCATCATTGGTATCAGTGGGGGAATAGTGCCCCATCATTGGTATCAGTGGGGGGAATAGTGCCCCATCATTGGTATCAGTGGGGGGAATAGTGCCCCATCATTGGTGTCAGTGGGGGGAATGGTGCCCCATCATTGGTGTCAGTGGGGGGAATGGTGCCCCATCATTGGTGTCAGTGGGGGGAATGGTGCCCCATCATTGGTGTCAGTGGGGGGAATGGTGCCCCATCATTGGTGTCAGTGGGGGGAATGGTGCCCCATCATTGGTGTCAGTGGGGGGTGGAATGGTGCCCCATCATTGGTGTCAGTGGGGGGTGGAATGGTGCCCCATCATTGGTGTCAGTGGGGTGGGGGGTGGAATGGTGCCCCATCATTGGTGTCAGTGGGGTGGGGGGTGGAATGGTGCCCCATCATTGGTGTCAGTGGGGTGGGGGGTGGAATGGTGCCCCATCATTGGTGTCAGTGGGGGGGGGGGGGAATAGTGCCCCATCATTGGTGTCAGTGGGGGGGAGGAATAGTGCCCCATCGTTGGTGTCAGTGGGAGGAATAGTGCCCCCCATCGTTGGTATCAGTGGGGAGAATAGTGCTCCATCATTGGTATCAGTGACACCAATGATGGGGCACTATTCCTCCCACTGACACTTGCTGACCCTGTTCTCGTATGGTGCTGCTGCAGCCAGCATATGTGGTTGCAGCAGCACCTCTACACTGACCACTTGCCTGCTGGTCCTGCACTCGATTTTCGCGGGGCCGCTCAGCTCCACCCCCTCGCCGGTGATTGGCCGCCTGTGTGCCTTTCCTGAGCTACAGTTCTGGCAGCCAATCACTGGTGAGGAGCCGAGCAGCCACACGAACATCCAGTGGCCGAACTGTAGGCGCAGCCGCGCTTCCTGGACCGGATCGTCGTGGGACCGGAACCAGGTAAGAAACAGCCGCTGCCCACCCCTGTACTTAGTGTCCCTTCCATTGGGGGAAGGGGGGGGGCGGCGGCAACGCGCCGCCCCCCTAAAAAGTGTCAGTATGCCGTATACCGGCGTATAAGACGACCCCCGACTTTTGAGAAGATTTTCAAGGGGTAAAAAGTCGTCATACGCCGGCAAATACGGTAGGTAATATACCTGCCTAGCGGTCCTCCACTTCTCCTGCCTTTTACTTAGCTGGCACAATGAACCCAGAGCTTCTACGCCTACCACCCAATCGCTAGGCCTGAGTATTGTCACATGACTGTGGATGATATCACCATTACCGCTATGTTCCAGCAATAATTTTTAGCAGCGGCTGTGAAGAAGGAAAGAACAGTAGAGTGTTAGAGGTGCCTTTTCACAGGCACTATCCCTTTTCCTTGAATGACCAAAGTGAGTGTCTCTGGTTTCATTTAATTTTTCTTCACTAATCTGAATCGTGTTACGGCAGCCCATTCATTGTGAATAGGGTGCCAGCAAACCACAGTGCACAAACCATGGCTGTGTTTTTTTTTTTTTTTCTTTTTTTTCAGTGCAGTACACAACAACAAACAGATGTTTTCCCATTTGTGTGTTGTGTGCCAAAATTCATATGTGTTGAGGTGAGCTGGCAAGGTGTGTTTGGGATGCCATTCAACATTGACACTGCATCTCATTGCACTGCTAATTGTTCATTACCATAATGAATGTGAGAAGCCAGCTTTAAGGTTTTTCGTTGCTTATTTACAGTTTTGCGACTTTCATAGTTTCACAAAAAGGCACAGTTTTATAATTTTACATATATTTAGTTATCAACTCCATATAGTTTTTATATTTTTAGATTTAGTATGAAAATTTTACATTATGTTGTGTTTTGCGTGCACCAATTATGATTTCAGTGTACTCTTATTGAAACTATAGGTGTGATAAACATTTGCAAAGTATCATGGGGTGTACAAACTATCACCTTCTTAAGTCTTCAGGTCCTGTTCTAGCATAAAAAAAGAGAAGCAGTGCCATCGAAGTGCAGCAATATAAGCAAATAATTTTATTTCCAGAAACACGCTCAGAGCATGCATGCTCCTTTATCAGGCAATGGAGGGGGCATTAGTCTAATTTTGTTTGAGAAGGAGGCTTGATATGTTTTTTTGTACTAATCTATGATGAAACTTGGGCCTCTCCATGAGTTGGCTGGGCCCTATAGTCCGCCACTATCATTTGCCAATATATGCCCCCTCTATGACCTGATAAAGGAGCATGCATGCAACGAACGCATGCCATGCCTACTGCTGCTGTACCTGGAGCTGACATCACTCCCGCCTGCCCTCACCAACCAGTAAGTACTGGGAATCGCCAGCACAGCCAAGGGCAGTGAGACCTGCCTGCAACAGGACTGGCCAGGAATTGCACAGTAGTTGACACCAGTTTGCAAGCGCTCATTTGACTACAACTATTGTGAGTTGCCAATTTTGTGGAAATAAATTATTGGCTTATACTGATGCACTTAGATGGTGCTGCTGCTTCTTCTTCTTTCTTCTTTCTTCTTTTTTCTTCTTTTTTTTTTCTTTTCTTTTTTCTTTTTCTTCTTTTTCTTCAGGCTCTTTTTTGAATTGGCTGCCACTGAGTCAAGTGTTGGATTATCCCTTAACCACCATTGGACTTTAAGGACTTTACTTTTGTGGGTGATATACTAGCCATCGCATTATACATCTGATCTTTTTTTTTCTTCTTAGTGCACCAAATATTTATCTTGTTCTTCTATCAGAAAATGTATGGTTTGGTGGGGGTAGGTTTGGGGAAGTGTGTGTGTGTGTGTGTGTGTGTGTGTGCTTGTTGCCCTGAATAGAAAAAGAACAGGTTTACTTTAACAAACAGCCTTTGGTGGCTTAGGGATCCTGGGCAACTCTGCCAAAAATTGATCTGTTTGTACTTTAGGTTTACCAACACCTATGTAATGAAAGGATCTATCTAAGAAAACATCCAATTACAGTATGTGCTATTTGAGACCCTTGCATTACATAGCTGTCTGTACATATCTCTTTCAGATTTACCATCAGACTGCAACATATATGTCCATCTTGGATGGATAAAACTGAAAAAAACCTGCAAGCAATTCCATAGTTACAAAGACTCTACAGTGGAGTAAAGGTGAGAACATTCCATGGCAAAAGGGTTAAGAATTGTTCTGCATGTAATAAGATATACAGACCAAATGTGGTGAAATAATAGATCCTCAACTAGAAAAAAAAATGCATTTACAGAAGTCTTCAGAAGTTTATTAAGGATCAGAAGCATGCCACATTAATGACTGGCACAAACCTCTTTCATGCCCAGTCTTTACTTGGCCCTAGATGGATTGAATTTTGTCCAGTTCAGCAAGGACCATCAAATTTTGATCCATCTTTGGCCGTTCCTGTTCCATGAGAAGTCAATCTAATGATCAAATTCACATGAGCTTGCTGGAAAATTGTGCTTTGATCCGTGCATGCAGCCAATCTGCTGCAGTGCTGATCAGTGTATTTTTAATTGCAGGGGAGTCCTACTGTCAGACTACAATGACTCCAGCGGGATTCCCGCATACACCTCCAATATGTGGATAGGGAAATCTATTCAGTTTTTTGGCTGTCAGCTGGCTGATAGAATAAACTGAGCTAAATACGTCCAGCGTAGGTCTATCCATCAGGCAGGTTAACTACATTTCATGGTGAACAGATAGCCTATTTAATTTTTCAAGCGCAAACTCATATGGCCCAACCGGTGAAAGAATGGGATGTCCAGTCTCAAAGTATTTCTGACTAGTATAACAATCAGAATGACCATTTAAAATAATTTCATTATCCCATCATATGGACGATTTTAAAAGTTTGTTTTGTGGTGCAAACATTGCTTCAGGTCTATGCATTGAGTCAGGTTTATTATTTTACCACCTTTTCCCTTGTAAGCAAAAAGATTCCACAAAACAAAAGCTCTGCCTAGTACAAGAGTGTAATTGTACATGTATCATAAAGCCCTTGGCTTGTACCTTGGCATCATTTGTGGAAACTCACAGCAAGATACTTGAAAGGCTGATATGCTTCAAATCCTGTTTGTGCACAAATGCTGTTTCATTCTGCCAGTAGGAACTGGAAGGAGACTAGGGTGGCTTGCCTCTGTTTGCGTTGCCCAGTGCATTTTTGAATATGCCAGGGTAACTATTTGCAATGATAATTTTAATTAGTCACTGCCTGCCTGTGTATTTAGGTTTCAGAAAGCTATCAAATCTAGGTGGGGATAAAGAGTGTTTATATGCAGTTTGCTGAGACACACCTAGAGATTAAACTTCATGGGAATTGGGTTACAACAGACAAGCTTATTTCAGTGATGGTCAATAGAACTCTTTTAACCCCTTTCTGTCATAAAATTCAGCTGCTGGATAATTTGAGCAGGCTTAAATTCCAGAAATGAAATCTAAAGTACTAGACCTATATTTCTGAAAAAAACTTTTTTTTAAATGTTATACTTGCTCTGTGCAATGGTTGTGCACAGAGCAGACCCAAACCTCTGCTGGGATCCCTCTCTCTTCTGAGTGCCATGGGGCGCTCATGTGGGCTTGATCCTGAGCCAGGCTGTGTGTGTATATTGAAACACCACATGGCTTGGCCCTGTCCCTGCTCCCTCCTCACAGAGTTTGGTTGACCGCAGCAGGAGCAAATGGTGTGTGTGTGTGTGTGTGTGTGTGTGTGTGTGTGTGTGTGTGTGTGTGTGTCAAGCTCGGGTAAGTAATTAGAGGGTGTTGGGAGCCAGCTGAACATGAAAGGGTTTGTGGTTTTTTTTTTTGTTCTTTTTTTGTGGTTTTTTTAACCTTCATGCGGAGAATGCATAAAGGTAAAAAACCTTTAGCATTTACAACCACTTAATGTTTTTGGGTGTCCCCATGGTTCAGTTTTTTAAGGACTTTGGCATTACTCTGACTCCTGGTTCAGGGGTCCAATAATCTGTGACCATTGCAACCAAAAGGTCAGCATACTATTCAGGCAACTGGCATTTTCAGGAAGAGGCACGCAAAAGCAGCTTCCTTATCTCTCTTGAAGCCGAATTCCTGCAACAAGTAAAATACAAATTAATAGCCTGCTAAAAGATAAAATAACAAAACCAGTTTTTGCTGAAATATTTTAATTTACTGTGGAAATTTCCCCCCAGTACTTCTTCTTTTTTTTTTTTTTCCTGCCACTGGATGTTATTTAGGCTGATGCCCAGAATCATCCATCCTACTTTCTCTTAGCCCAAGTTGCCCTGAACCAGCCTTTGTCTTTGACTGGACAGTGAAAAGAGATGCAGCACAGTGATGAGCTCATCTCTCACTCTTTCTCTACCTATCGGCATGCTTCTTGTCAGCACATGAACTGATATAGCTCCTTGTACTGCTTCTTCCTCTCACATTCTAACCCTTCTGTGCAGCGACTGCAATAGACTAATACCAGGTCAAATTTAGGTACTTGCACTGATTGCATAAAGGTGTCTATGATTACAAAGCTGCATTAGTTTGTCTTTTTATATGCCTAGAGCTCAGTTTTAAAGACTTACTAAAGCCATTCTCATTCCATTAAAGTAGTTGTA